CTTTGTTGTTCCTCTGGGCGGCACCCCCCTCCCTGTGTCCACTTTCACTCATTTCTCTTGGGAGCTGCCTTGCCACAGAGAAAGGCCTTTGGAAGCCCTCTCTTTTCAGCCAGTCTTTATTGAATTTCACCTCCATGTTTTCTTCTTCCCAAAGAGGAGCATCATTTATCTTGGACTTTAAGTTGCAGAGGTCTTTAAAAGCTTTCTTTTTTTCCCCAGCTGCATTTGTTGACACACAGTCAATCTGTTCCTTCCCTCCACTCCCAGGTCCTCCCACCAAGCCCCCCAAGCAGGCCATAAAGTGTCTACAGCTGTGCCTTTATTACCCTTCCCTTTCTATGGCCGCAAGGGGGACGTGCTGAAATATAGCACAGCCATTACTGCTGACAAAAAGGGACAATTTTAAAACATTTTTGCTTTTCATCAGGGAAGCCCATGACACAAAAGAAAGTGCATCATTTTATTGTAAATGCTTTTTAAATATGGGTCACTTGGCCATAATCAGCACCAAAGGACAGAAAAGTTCAAAGCCCCAAAGCGGGCCCCAAATATATTGAGAGTTTCCCACCTCAGCCTTTGCCTTTTAAATTATGCTAATTGACACCAAGAAAAAGGGGGTGGGGGTGGTAATCTCCAATCAACCCATGCGCTCTGCCTGCAACCCCCTTCTTTTCTTACAGAGAAAAGCCCATGAAATGGATTGGCCTGGCCACGAATGGCAGCTGCAAACTACTCGGGCCATTTTTCTTTTTCTTACAGAAGTATGAAAAGTAGGAGGCTTGTGGCTTGATCTTTCAGGATGGGGCGACTTGCCCAGCCCTAGTGGGGAGGAAAGTCTTGTTATCTTCCTTGCAGACTACCAGGATGTATTTGCTAAGGGCTCCTTGGCTTGTGATTATGGGCTGATTTTCCAGGGGTACGCAGAGTGTGAGGTACAACCCAGGGTAGGGTGATAGGTTAAACTTAGCCTTTGTTGTTGTTTCAGACAGGGTTTCTAGTGTAGCCCTGGCTGTCCTGGGACTTGCTTTGTAGACCCAACTGGCAGAGATGTGTCTGCCCTTCCCTCCCGTGTCCTGGGATCAAAGGTGTGTGCCACCACTCACCACTGCCTGGCTAAAGTTAGCATATTTATAGAGTGGTTGCCAGGATTCCGGAATTGAGACTAGAGGCAGCAGGGTTTGATACTCGTGTAGAGTGACTGTGATAACCTTGTCACAGTCCTCCAGCGGCCCTCCCCTTTGCAGTCCAGACCCCCACACTGAAATCTCTCTTCCTGCCCGAGGCTGTCTCTGGAGAACGGATTTGGATGTGAGGAGGCTGTTGGACCATAAGAAAGATTCTCCTAGTAGTCCGAATGAGGGCAAGATTACCTTCCTGAGAACCAGTTGCCTATGTGGCTCACAGAACACTGACTGTGCAGCCCAAAGAGCTGGACTCAGGTCTTGGTCAGGGCTGTTCAGCCACCCTAAGATACTGTGGAATGAGGTGACAGTGAAATACCCCCACCACCCAGCACACCTGTGTGGGATGTGACTCTGGCCATGCTGAGGCGACACCCAGCACTGTAGCCCCTAGGATAGAAGGTTGGATCTACCTGGGAATAAAATGGCAGTGAGGGTTGCTCAGAAAGAACAGCAGCTATGTCCTGAGTTGTTGTGAAGACTGATTGACTAGACATGCCAAAAGCCTATTCCTAAGAAGGTGGGGCATGGAGCTGGCACATATGATCCTGTGTCCACATATATGGCGACATATATAACATACATGTGCTGACTGCTACCAGGTAGTCTATTTTTGTCCAGTGTCTGTTCGCTAGCCTGGCGTTACCTTTCTTCAGAGGACCCAAGTGTACTTTCAGATAGTCCCTTGCCATGCTCACTGCGCTCTGACCACTGTTTTTTGCTTGATTGCTCATTTGATTGCTTACTTCTGGATATCACTTATTTGATCTTTCCTTTTCAGGGAGCCAAGCCAAAGCCCGTAGTTAAAATTAGTTACAAATCTTTGGAGGGAAAAGCATCCTGCTTTTTCTATTTTGGTCTCTTTTTTCACATGAGGGAATTTTCTCAAAATCCAGTGACTCTTGACTTCTTCAAACTGAAAAGCCGGTGAACACCCATGTGGCTCGCTGTGTCTTTCCTACAGTCTGGATCATCTGCTGCCTCTGGTCTCCTTTTCAGGAACAGCAGTGACACCTTCCCGTTTATTTCTGTTCCAAGAAGGAGTGACACTAGGAGGCATGTGGTTTGATCTTTCAGGATGATTTGACTCTCAATCCTAGTGTGGAGGAAACTGTTATCTTTCCCGAAAGACTACTGGATGGATGTACTGAAAACTCCATAGTGTGGATTGTGGCCGTCTAAACCCATACATGGAAGGCATGAGGATGGGAGCTCAGCCAGGGAAGGGCTGCTAGCCCCTCTCTGCTCCAGCCGAGCGGGCCGCCGGCAGTCCCATGCTCATGCCACGACTGATACTGTTTGCTCCAGGGTCTATGCACCTACTGTACTCTCTCCTTGGAGGGATTAGACCTTATGTGTTCCCGTGGATTCTTTCAGGTCTCAGCTCCCGCAGCCTTGAGGGAAGCATTCCCTCAGACTTCGGAATCTCTACAGCTGCTCCGTGTTACCTCCTTGGACTATCTCTGCAGACATGCATTCACCAGTATACCGTATTCATGAACTATCTTTCTACAGAAGCAGAAAAGCTCCAGAAAGCCAGGCCTTTACTTCATCCACTTTCATATCTGCAGCAGCTGTGAACTCTTGATGAATGAGTGGCAGGTGACATCATTTTAAGCTCTCGGGCACCCTTGCTACTCACCTTCCAAGACTTTCTGGGCACTTAATCTTGCTGTCACGACACAATACCGTAGCTTCTAGAACTGTGCTGCACAGCTGAGTGAGCCTGCTTCTCCCAGATATTCCAGTTGCTGTGGCTTTACTATGTAGAGGCCTAGGCCACCTCCCCAGAAGACAGAAGCCAGGGTTACTCACTGCGGTGATCAGCAGTGTTTGCCACACTTCATGTAACGAAATGTCACAGCCATTAACATTTGAAGAGTATTTATTGGTATGGGAAAATGCTCACAATGTTAAGGAAAGCAGGGTACAAATCTGTAAACACAGCATGATCCCAATCTTGTAGTAAAATAAATTATATATGCATAGAAAAAATATAGGAAAGGAATACACTAAACATTAACAGTGATGCTCTCAGGGCAGAGTACTCTGGGTCAATAGCTAGTTTTATTGTTTCGGCATCTTCTAAACATTCTACAAGAAGCATGTATGACTCTGATTGACAACGGGGTGGGGGGGAGGAGGAGAAAGTTGATGTAGACTGATACCTAGTCCTGGGGGCAGCAAGACTCATGTGCCGAGTGCACAGTTCAGTCACTTGCAAAGCTTCATTCAGCCTGTGTCATATATAGAGGAAGGGTAGCATTTGCTCTGTCTGCCACTAAAAACCACTGGACACGTGAAAGGGTCACAGACATCTAAGGAGTTCCAATGCCTTGCTTTAGGACACGATTCCCATTCACCCTTCACTTCCAACGTCCAGTGTAGGTAAAAGGCTGTAAACTGATCCCTTACTGGAGGACTGGCCCACACCGCTGCTCTCTGACCTAAGGCCATCCAGGTCTTCATCTAAAACCTGCTAACTGACCAAGTGTCTCCCTCTCATGCAGGCACCTCCATGATGGGAACGCCAGAGACTGCTGCTCCAATAGTTATTGCTTTAAAGTGGTCTGGGAAGGCCCACCTTCAGCAGCCTGTGCTGCTTCCATCTCAAAGCCTCTGGCTAGTGGTCCTACATGCAATAGGGAAAGCGCAGGAGTCAAGCCCATGGCTGGACCCTGACTTGCTGAGGGCTGAGCAGCTAAGAAGCTCTGTGGAAAGACTTTGCCTAGAGATGGGGTGAAGTTACAGAGAAGACACGAAGCTTGATGCTCAGTGCTCTCTGTGGGCAAGGTCAAACTATTCCTTTTTTTGAAAGAAATAATCCTTAAAAAAAAAAGAAGAGCCTAAATGCAAGAGATGCAAGGTCAAAGGAACTCATTGAAAGCCTGGGAACACAGCTACAGCACCGTGCAAGCACTCTGTGCCCAGAGACAGCAAGGTGGCATTTCACCGACACATCATGCTTTCCTAGACTGACACTCATGGCAAAGCTATCTGACCAGAGATTATAAAAATACTTTCAAAATGAATTTGTAGAATGAAATAACAAAATAACTATGTTCTTTTTCTCTCTAGATTTTTTTCACTTAAGTTAACTTTATGAATTGCAGAATAAAATGAAAATCTTATTGGTGGTGCATGGCTAAAACATAAATCACCACAAGCTCTTCTCAACAGTTATGGGCGAGAGTCCTAGAATGTATGTCCACTCCCTGGTCTTCTTACAAGTATTCTGATTGATTCGTTTACAGCAGTTCAGGGCCACTGTTAGGAAAGCATGTCTCTGGCCATAATGTCACACACACTATTTTCTGGGTCAACTTGAGAGCTCCTGGGTAAGTAGAGTCCTGGGTTTGCTGTACCTTGGATGGTGTTTCTTTTCTCTCACCTTGGTGTGCACACTGACCCCCATTTGAAGCGGGAGGCGTGGGTACTGCAGGCCTCCCACTTCTGGCTGACTTCTCTTGCTGCTTTCAGTGTGCATACTTTAAATCCACTAACCTCTTTTTCTGTCTTTGTGGGGTGTGGGGCTCAAAGTCCAAGCAACCAAATATGTTTGAAATGAACATAAATCTTAGTGATAGTGATTATTCCTTAGGGGTTCCCCTCAGAGTAAATTTTACAAACTTCCTGGCATCTCTCTGGTAGCTCAAAGGTCAGGGACAATTGAGGATAAAGAACTCTCACGGGTGCCATGCACACTCTGTCCTAGAACTGTCCAGTGACAGTGAGGGAGCGGGCGAAGAAAGACTTTAAAACAAACCGTGCAATGGTCTCCTTAGCCCACGTATCCATAAAGAAACACACACAGATGGCTAAATTCAATCATCCCCGATGTTTTATTTAATTTAAAGTTTTAAAAGGCAGTGGTCAAGCACATAATCTATGTGTGCATATATCTATGTATGCGTATCTACACACACATACATATATGGAAGAAACCAACCCCTTTTCAACTTTAGCCACTGGTCACCTTGGCCTGCTGTCTACATGATTGCACATCTACTTCATATGACCATTCCTAAGAGTAAAAATAAACAGCCTTAATCAGTTTAATAGTAACTATTTGTGTTTCTTTTTTTAAATAAATAAAGTTACCATTAAACTGACCACATATGGTAGAAAGGTAGAACACACACACAAATACACACAGAGACCCCTGTTTAAAACATGTGACATACGAATGACCTTTATGTACAAATGGGTGCTGTTGGCTCCCTACCCCCAGCACAGGCCACAAAAGAACTCCCACTACTGGGGGAGCCCCATCCTCTCTGTTGCCTGGAGGATGAGTGTGTACTTGGCACCCTGAGTGATAGCTCAGAATGCATGCTGCGGATGCGACAGTACAGATGGCGGTCCAGCCCTACGGTCCTAGTAGTGTTCAGGAAGGAGGGATAAATAGGCACGTGTAGCTGCCTGAACTAAACCATCATTTCTAACTCCTCATAGGGAGAAATGTAATCTCAAGTTTTAGCTAAGTGACATAGAAACTTTTAGAGTGTAATAGGTTTGTAAGTCTGGGGCCGAGTGTGTGTGTGTGTGTGTGTGTGTGTGTTTCCACATCTGTATAAAACTGAAATGAAGGGTGGGGCTAGGCTTACAGAGCAGCTGCCTGGCTTCCATTCAGTCCGTGCTGATCAGAGGGATCGCTTGCCTCAGCCCTTATTTACCAGTTCCTCGGACACTCATGTGCCTCGGGGCGCTGGAGAGACTCAGAAGGGGTGGTTTACACGCGTGGGTGGAAGGACACGGCTGAATCTTCGGCTAGGAATCCCGGTAACAAGACTGCCAGATTTGACCAGGGCTGCTTTGCCTAGTGAAGTCCCGTACTCTGTCTGGTGCAGTGGGATGGCTGCTGCTGCTTCTAGCCCCGCAGCTCTGCCTAACTGCAGCTCTGTATGAATGCCTCCATGTTGCAGAAAACACAGGATTACCTCTTAAATATGCTGGATTCCCAATGAGTAAACCAGTTAATGTGTTTCTAGCCAAAGCAAGGGCATAAACGTTTTAGAGAAAAAGATTCCCCTGGAGCTACAGAGAAAAGATGCTGATGAAAGCCATAGAGGGAGTGGAGCAGGTGACGGTGCTTTCAGTCTGTGTCCGAGCTGGTCTCTTCGATGACAGAATACTGGCTGAGTGCTTCCTCCAAAGGCGTTATTGTCCCATCAGGTTTTAGTCCCATTGGTTTAAGCAACTCCTCCCTGGAAAAAAAGAGATAAAAGAAAGAAAAAAAAAGTATTCACCAGCATCACACACACACCCTCCCCCGTCCAAATCCATAGCCTTTTAAAAAGAGAAGTCTTTAAAAACCAAAGTATTTTCTCTCAAGCTCTCTGTGTATTTGTAATAGAAAGATGAAAGGAGCTTGGAGAAAGAGGGACATGAAAGGCTGCATTCACACAAGCCAGACCTAAGCCAATTAAAGGAGGAGAAGTCAAGGCCCAAATGCGCTCAGGACAAGGAGCAGGTCTCTTCAGGTTTGAATAATTAACTCTTTTCCTCTTGTGGATTTATTTTGTTCTAGAGAAGCTGAAGCTCGAGTCTCACCTGCTCGACTCAGGCACACTTCAGTTCATGGCATCACTGTCAGGTCTGGAGCCTTTCCACCATCTCCAACTCACAAACACTTGTTGGTTCATTTCAAATCAGTCGGATTTCCCCAAGTTTTCTCACCCCCTCCTTCTTTTTGTTTAAACACCATTGCTTTTGTTTGTGGCAGTTTAATTATGGGATTGACAGCCATTTTAATCTCCTCAAGGCTCCCCAACTGTCTCTCTCCATCTAATCCAATTGTATCCACTCCACAAGTTACGGCCTCATCGAAGACGATTAATTATTGAGTAAGCCAATCAAAAAGCACCCGGAAAGACTTATTTAATCTCTTCATCGGCCTTACTTATTACATGGAGATTGTGACGAGTGTACCTATTGAGTTGCTAGCATCAATCCTTCCACTCCTGACAGGTTCTTGGTGCACTTAAGAGGACTGTCAAAGGCTCAGGAGCCGCCTGACACTCATTTCTCATGGAAATGGGCATCACTGCCCAAGAGCATGACACAGCAGCTGTAATGTTGGTGGGCTGTGAGGTGAGGAGTACATGGCACTGACTTCCCTCTGCTTCTTGCTACTGTCTTTTCTGGCAACACAAAGAAGGGTTCCCTCCTGGGAAAAGGCAGCCATACAACTGTACTAGCACAGCCAAACCTGGGGAGGTGAGTTCAGCTCAGTGCTGGGGTTAAAACAATAGCAGCCTAAGCACGTAGCTCTGGCTAGCACCCGATAACTTCTGAGGCCAAGTCTGCTTGGGAAATGGGCATGGCTGGCTGACTGGCTACACCGAGGCTCCTGCATGCTCTACATGGCAACAGGAGCGGAGTCACCCAGCTTTAAGTTGGAAGCAGAGTCACCCAGCTTTAAGTTGGAGGCGCCTCAGAGATCAGTTAGTCCAACTGTCCTCTTTACAAGGAGGCAGAGCGACGTGCCCAAGGCCACTCAGTGATGGAACGGGGCCTGGGACAGGTCTCCCAAACCCCAGTCTGCAGTAAGTCCCATCTCAGCTGACTGCTCTGACTGCACAGAAGGCAGCTTAGTTCACTGCTCAGCAACTACATGAAAGGAGCTGCCACTTGCTGGCCAGAAGAGGAAGGACAGGGTGCAACTGTTGCCCTTGATGAATGGCTGAAACGAACAGACCCAAGAGGACTTGGGCCACCGATGGGGAAAAGGTCCTGAAAGAACTGCAAATGAAACCCCATGGCTCCTGAAAGGAAGCATGGCCACACTACCTGGGGGAGGCAGAGAAGGCACCATAGATGAGAGAGCCCGTGGCAGCAGGCAAAGGAGACTGTGCCAGGTCCCATCGTCTTGTGTGACTGTGTCAGTTCACCTTTTCTACTTTGTGTCCTTGAGAGGCTGGGCAAGGGACTAGTGTTTAGGGAGTAGAGGTTCAAGGAAGAAGCAAGGGGTAAGAGGTAAAGGGTAACTTGAAAGGAAGGAGCTTAGCATCTCCTGTCCACAATGTCTACTGGTTCACACCCTCTGTGAGTGGTGTGCTGGCCACACTGGAGCAGGTGGCAGACAGGTAAGGCATCAGGAGGTCACTGTGATAGTTATGGAAAAGGAGAGAAAGATGGACTATGGCCAAGGCTGGAGGAGAGGCCTCCGGCCTCGGGCAGGTGTGAAGGGGGCTGGCGAAGGTGAGTAGGAGAGCTGGCTCCAGGGTGGATACTAAGGACACAGGAAAGAGCCAGTGAGCCTGCACTCTTGTCCAGGACACAAAGAGTCTGAGCTGCCTTTGTGGCAAGCATACAGAAAGGCCCGTGAATAGCCATCAGCAATTCTCGAGCCTTGCTATGACCCAGTCACAATTTAGAGTTCATATGTCCTAGTTCTGCCTGTGACGCAAAACTCTGTGATACTGAATACTAACAACTGACGAAAAGGAAGGGGACAACTTGCTGGAAATGGCACATTGAAGGAGAAGAGAATCCTAGTCTGAAGGTTAGGAGTGGTGGTACACGTCTGTAAAAACAAGAGCCTGGCTCAAAAGGCCAAAAACCCAAACCCAAACCCAAGCCAACCAAACTGAAACACAGAACTTAGCACACCAAATGACCTGGTTTAAAGGTGTTGGTAACTGCAGGCAGTGAGGTACGGGAGGGCTGGATGGTGAGGAGAAGCACAAGGAGAGGCAAGGGCCTACCAAAGGCAGTGATGGACTGCCCAGCAGACACACCATCCCTGCCAGCACTAACACCATTATACTTCCACAGTAACAGCCAACACTGGGCCTAGCAACCAGTGTGAACTAACCAGTTACTTTCTATGCAGACCCAGGAAGAATATTTCCAAATTAAGTTTGTTATCTTTATTACTACCCTTTAGTCCAACTTTATAATTGGGAACAATTACGACTTACATAGTTTTATGATCAAATTACAAGAGTTATTTTATAGAGCAAAGGTTACCCATCCTTTAATTCTCACATATGAACTATTCTCAAGCATTTTTAGAGGACACCCTGTATCACCCCTCCATTAAAATGGAAGCTCCTCAGAAGGCATGGATTGTTTTCTTTTCCACAAGGCTCCATGCAATGCTTGCATACACTGACATTTCTGTAGGAAGGGCATCAGTGAGACTTGGCCACAAAGTCATGCATTCATGCAAATAAATTCCAACAGCAATGTGATGTTGTGTGAGGAGCAAACAGATTGTAAGTTAGGAAGTCTAAAGTCCAGATTCTCTTCCACTTACCAGCTGTGTGATCTTGGGCATGTTTCTGAGTCTTACTTACCCCATTTGTGAAATGGGGGTCATAATACTAGCTCTACCTACTTCCCAGTGATGACATAAGAAGTCCTAGCACAGCAGTGGCAGCAACAACAGCAACAGCATAGATCTAAGGGCTCTGTGAACTGTAGAGGACTCAAGTGTTTACTGTGGGGGAGTGAAAGGCACATAGAGGTTTGGAAGCCAGACCTGGGTTCTATTGCTAGAACTACAGCACTGGAAGACCTTGAAAACCCTAAATTCTGATTTTCTTTTCTGTAAAAACTGGATCAGGAACACTCACCTCATTAAGCAGTCATGAAAGCACAGACTACAGAGTGGACAGTGCGTGGAGCGGCTGGGATACGACAGGAACCCACAAGCTCTACTTTGTTCCTTATGTCTTTAAAGAAAGCTTCTCCTTCCTGATCGAATGGGGGGGGGGGGGGGGAAAGGGAGGGAATGGTCCCTGTCCTCAAGAAGCTTCTGTCAGTTTGGAACACACACCACACACAAAACAATACTGAAAGAATTACAGAGCAGCAGATCAACACGCTGAAGACAACCGATCGACAAGCAGTGCCCTGCCTTCCTGAGCCTTACAGCCTCCCCCCCACCCCCACGTGCTATATGGTTCAAGGAGATTTCCTGTCCTGTGGGGGAGCAGGAACCGATCACGTGCTAGCTTGTGATTGCTTTACCTACCAACCCTGGACTGCTTCTCATGCTCAGTCTACTTTTCTGTTCTTCTCTATCCTAACGCTAGCACCGTACAAACACCAAGCAAGCCCTGTGCTCTAGACACTCATTACTGACAGCTTAGTGCACGCTCTGGTTATCTATCAGTTTGTCAGCTGTTTGTGTCCATGTCAGTAAGGTATGGACAGAGTTGGAACCTATTTATCAACGCCACAACAATGTTCCGTCACCATCATATGGCGATGCACAAGCTGGAGGGACACAGGAGGAAAAGACGTTACTAAAGGCTCCTTGTAGGAGGCAGATTCGGGGCCACACTGTAATTAATGGCAGTGAAAAGACATGGTGTCACAGGGGGAGAGGCACCCCAGAGGCAGAATTAGTCAAGCAGAGGAACAGAAGCAAGAGTTAGTTATGTGCAGGACTGGCAAGTAGGTTGGCTCAGCTGAAGAAAAGGAAAAAGAAAGCTCAAAAGTGCTACAAGGCCTGAAGGGGCTGGAAACCTGGACTAAGGCTGATGAGCTGACAAAGTCCCAAGGTATTGCTGTCTCCAATTTCAAGAGCCACCTTCTATATTTAAGAGTATTCATTAAAAATGAGCACTACTACAAACTTTGAAAGCTACAAATGACACTGCTCTGATATTCTAAGTAAAGTACATTCTATGCTTTACTTAGTCTCAGTATTCTCTGTGTTCTAGCACGGTGCCTTAGAGAGCAGAGCCTCGGGGACGCACAGGAACCACATTTAGCTGGCCTTCTTACAGAAGTCATGTATCTGGAGGCTCCTCATGACTAAGCCATGAACAAAACTGGCTAAACCTGTGAGCAGATTTGTTTCCATCAAGATGTATAGATTCAGGAGAGGATTACTAATCTTCAGGAAAGCCTGATATAAAACCAAGAAACGATTATTAATCCCCAGGAGATCCTGTTACAGAACAAGGAAATCACTAATCCACAGGAAATCCTGAGGAATGCTTTCCAAGGATTTATTGCTCGCTGCTAAATTGTGCTCATCTTGAGGTCAGAGATCCATGTCTTCTCAGGCTATGATTAACATCTAGGACAGAGCACACAGTAGGTGCTTGGTAGATGTTTGCCGAAAGGTCAGAGTACATGGCTGCGGCCTAAGTGGAGAATGGCAGAGGGCAGTGTGTCAAGAAACGTTCTCTAGGCTCTAACAGCTTTCATGATGAGCCACCATCATCAGAGGATGCTCACAGCCCAGTAGAAGTCAACCACCATTTGGTACAGACTCAGCTTCCTGTGCCTGAGACATTAGGAGTTCTAGATTCTAGCTTCGAATCTTCTACAAGTCTATTACAAGTCCTTGGTCAAGCCATTTGCCTCTGAACTACAAAATGAGGGGTTGGACAAGATGATCCCCAATACTCTATACTAATTTTAAGAGTAAGTATCAGGCTACTAAATAACTTTGAATCACTTAAAAAGCTGCTGGTGTTTTTAAGACACTCAAAATCACTATCATAAAATCCTTTCTTCCTAATATAGGATATCTTCCTAGGATATTGTAAACCTAACGGTCAACGCAGACCTGCCTGTCAATGACATATAGCATGACCACAAACCTTTTCTGCAGTCTGCCAGCAGGTGATTAAATGATTACTAAAGCAATGGCAAGTACCACACACAGGACCCAGACAGCATCATGGCCTTCGCTGAGCCTTTTTATGAAGAGTTATCACCGGCTCTAAATTTATGAAGGTTCTCTCTAAAAAATGACAGCTGGTGTGCAATAACCATCTCGGTTGAAATGTGCATAGGATTAAGATATTCACATAGTAGCAGCTGCTTCATACTTACCTTCAATGCTATATACAGGCCTTACACAGTTAAGACTGCCCCGTTATCACCAAAAAGTACAGTGGTGTCTACTGGATAAGGAGCCCATGCTAGGCCCTGTGACAGTATCATGGCGGGCTTCTCATCTGATCAGGCATCTGGCCAGGGAAGACATAAGCCTCCAAGAATGTTCAACTGGAACGAAACATCATTTAGAAATTTGATCTTACTAAACAATAAGGAATCACAGTGTATGAGGGTGTGGCCAGGCAAGAGGATACAGATAAAGCACGCCCAAGAAAAGAAACCCTATTTAGGCCCAGCCTAACCCTTGGGACTTGCCAATGGAAACCAAAATAACGATGATGATGATGATGATGATGATAATAAATAATAATAATAATAAACAAAAGGTTCTTAAATCTAGGGATGGAAACTTCTGGAATTTAAACATACTTAGAATTTTCTGTTCTTTATAATATTTTTTCCCAGATATATTTTAACAGCTTCCTGTTGGTGTGATACTGTGATAGTTTCTCAGAACTGTAGAGATGGTCACAGTGTTTTAGGGCTTCAAGTTCCTATGTGACTCCCCCAGCAGTGAGAGCCAGTATTAGGGCTCAGACAGTAACACGCCCAACTGCACAATACGGAATAGGTCAGATGTGTGTGTGTGTGTGTGTGTGTGTGTGTGTAACACCTGACTTGACCTTGAAGCCAGAAACTATTCTTGCCCACAGCACATGCGTTGTGCAGGATAAACAAAGCATTTGATTCAAGTGCACTTGTGAAGGCAGGACACAATCAAGCAGTTGGTAAAAACACATCCCTGTTTCCCACTTGCACATCTCCCAAGAGTCCCTTCGAATTTACCTATACGAGTTTCAGCTTCCCGCTTGCCACTTAGCTTGATAACGACTCAAAAATCATTCCCTTGTTTTCAAGGGCTCTTCTTTGTTGTCTGCTCTGTGTACTACAGGGTAGTATTGACACATGGAATTAATGACAGGGTCTGTAATGAAACAACAATCATGCAAACACCAGTCTGCTCTTTTGATAAAACAGCATGTTAGAGACCTATTCACCTCCCTCTAATTGAGTACTACATAATAGTTCCGATCCTTTTGTGTAACATATTTTGTTCTATGATTAGAAAAGAAGAAAAAAAGGGGAAACCTATGAAGCACTGCTTCCTTTAATCACCCTGATTAATTCTTGCTTTAATGAGGGTACTGCTATCTAGTCGTGTTCTGCTACACTCTTGTTTTGTTGACTTCTTTCTGTTCAATGTATAACAAAACCCGAGACAGGATAATTGGGAACTGTTACTCTGGCACAGGGATTCCTGTTCTTAATGTGAGGTTGGCCTGGAAAAGAACCCTGACCCATTAAGTTAGACATTTAATATGTAATTCCTTTTCACCTCTGGAAGATGGGATGAGACATTAGTATATAAAGGAAGTATTTTAATTAATATAAAATGCCTTTGGGGATGGATCCCCTGATAGCCCAGAGGGTGTGGCTCTGCAGTGAGGAGTCACAGCCTCTAAAACTGCACTAGGTTCTTTCTTACTGCTGGTAATAACCCCTCTTAGTGCAGGAGTCACATAACTATGTTGGATGCTAAGAGTATGGTGGCCTTTGTGTGGACACTGCTTCTCCCCCGTTCATCTAATGGCTTCCTACTACGACTAGCTAAACTGATCATTCACCACTGAGAAGAAATAATGCAAATGGTGGCTTTCCCACAGCAAATAAAGGTCTTTCAACTGCATCTTAATAAATAATTGAGACCTTCCACTCAGCCCTCACCATTGTGCTTTAGGACGAGGCACCATGGGGAAATAAAATGTGCTGTGTAAATATGTCAACCCCAAGATAAACGGACATGGGTACTGCTCATACTACTACACCCTGGCACTTGGTAATGGGATTGGGAATGGCCATTTTAAAGTTAAGATTTAGCAGTGTGATGATGTGTCAGAATCTGTTAGGTTACCACATTCACATTCACTCTTTGAAACACAGTGACAAAACCAAGCAATAACAAAGGATGGCAGAGCTTTTACTGTCTCCTCATTGAGCAGTTACTTAACTGTGAGCTCACCCTTGGTATGGAGTAGGAAACTCAGTGTGTGATGAATCTCTACCCTCTGATCGGCAATCTGTCACGGTAAACACGTTCACTGTTGGGCTTTAGTGCTTTGTACTTATTTAAAACTTACATCTCATTTAAAAATAATCAGACTGACAAACTGCTCAGAGTTGTTGGTGATTTTTCAAAATAGTGTGTTCCAGAGGGTGTCATTTTAATGCCTGCTCTTAGGTCAAACACTTAAGCTCGGATGCTCACTCCTTGATAACATACCTCTCGTCCTGCTGAGCTCACAAGACTGTCTTAATGATCAACCGGGTACATATGGAAGCCTTTTTTTTTTTTTTTACATTTTGAAGTACTGAGTTAGCTTTTTATTATTCTAATTTCTGTTAGAAGATAGCATGCAAAGCCTCTACTATTCTGCTTGGTCTCCTGTTAGACAGCACAGCTAAGGACATGTTAGAGGATGAGGTTAGGGACAGTGTAGAAAGAACACATTTAGTTCTATTCTTAAGTAATGGCACTCTTTATTACCTCTTGGTAACATCCTTAGAAAACTCTTTTACCCTGCTGTCCAGATTGACAAGATTCCGGAGGGGTGTGCACATTGAACAGAGAGCACAGACACCCACTCTGACACATACTTGCCATCGAAGGACCCGAGAGTCAGAGGAGAAAGGTGACTGAGGAAGGACAGTATTTTTATCTTGTTTTGCTAATTGCCAAATGCCATTTCAGCTTGTGCTTTAACCACACACTCTGTGACTTTCAGTAGTGAGTACAAAGGGTGCATGACATCCTGCATAGGTGTCTGGCCACTGAGATAGTCCTCTATAACCTAAAGATGTATAGTCAGGCTTCTCAAAACAATCCCCTCTTGTTCCTGTATGGGTGTGCAGGTATACAAAGCACCAAGATGAGTTTTCATGGAACATTAATGATGGAGAACAATGCTCTATGTCAGAAACATGAGGCAAGCCGCCATGTAAGCCGTATATTGATAGTCAATGTCCAACTAAGGAAAGAAAAATTAAGGTAAAACTGACTTCAGTTTAATCCAGTATGAAAATTGGTCTTTTAAACACATAATCTACTAAATAATTACTAAGATACATTCGAGTCTCTTTTTCTCTTTAGAGGACATCCTAATTTGGATTAACCATACTTCAAGCGTTCAGTAGTCATGGACTGACTAGCAGGTCCCACAATGGACAGTGCAGACCCAAAAGATTTTCTGTCTTAAGATTAAAATCTTTGAACCTTAAGATCTTTGGTGCCTACATTAGGTCTTACAATGCATAATGCTTACAATGCTTAGGTGGGTTGTATTTCTGAAATACACCCAAAAAGTATATCCTAGACTAACTCTTCAAAGGCATGTGCAAGTATAGGTTTTGCTACTTCTGTAAGATGAGCAATAGGATTTATTTACATTGAAAAAAGTCATGTGTCTCTTACTTTCTAGATGTAAATCAATCATAACTGCCTGAGTTAAAAAAGTAATCTCTTGATTCAAGTGTACTATCCTTGTATTTGGTGCCAGCACTAAGAAAGCCAGGTCCCACACAGCAACATGGCGGGGTGGAGAGGAAGGTTAGTGGCTAGGTGTGGATGGGAAAAGTGGTGGCAGAACAGGTATTGTTTATTGATTGACCTACAACTTAAAGCACAGGTGCCTCTCAAACAGTGCTAGAATGAGAATGGTCAGAAGATCAGGCCATCTGGTTTCAACTAAGGAAACAGAGGGACAGGAGGAGTAGAATCAACTGTAACTTAAGATGTGCTCGCCCTTGGCCGGCAGGGCTAAGGCACTGTTAAGAGTGTGTGTGAGTGTGCTGTTGCTGGGTAAGGCACATGGGGCTGGCTCCCTGCAGCCACCACTCTCATCCCCTACTTCAGTGCAGGGGCTTATTTTTGCTATCAAAGTCTGAGACAAGAGAGAGGAGGTGAAGAGGCAGGCATGCCATGTCAAATGATGTCTTCTGTAACCTTATACCTCAGGCTTGACTGATGAATATCATACTTATTTTAGATTAAAGAAATCCATAGCACTTATTTAAGTTAGACAGCCATGGCCCACATTTCTTTATGGTATTCCTTTAAAGCCCCTACTTTGATGAAGTTTGGCCAAGAAATGGAAATGACAAGTACACTTTGAAGCTGTGAATCCTGCATGTTATTCTACAGAGAAAATAAAACCAAAACAAACCAACCAATCAACCAAACAAAAACCAACCTTCAAATCTGGGGTCATCCATATCCATTTTCCATAGGCCACACAGCACTGCACCAGCTCTACAGGATAGCTGTGACAGGGCTCACATGGGTTCCTAGCTCTGAGAACCTCCAGGTGTACTGCCATCTCCACTGAGGAACAGAAACATCTAACAAAGACACGAGAGCTTTCTATAAACAGATCAGGACTCACTGAGCATGCTGCTTATCAATGCACACTCAGTAAGACATCTTCTGATGGCTGCCTCCTCAGCACCTTCCCAGTCTAGCTGACATAAAGATGCTGAGGGCAGGAGTCCCTTAAGGAAATGTCTACATGAAGGCAAAACGGAAATGTGACCTCAAGTTTCACAGTAGTAATTTTACACTTCTGTCACATCTATACCCTACGCCAGGCTCAGGAATAGGACTTGGCATGACCAACCTTAGTCATCACTTTGGTAAGTGCTTTGGCACGGGGCACTGTTGCTAACCACCATCCTGGTGCGGGTCCTTCACATCTGCTCTCCTACGGATGAAAAAAGGAAGTGTCTAGTGTCCATGCCTTGGCCACGCCACCTCCAATCCATCCTCTACTCTCACACCCTTCCTTGGCAGTGCAGGAGAAACTGCTGAGAGGATGACTAAGAAGTGTTCTGGCAAACACACAGACAGACAGACAGAGTAACACAGTAGACAGAGCAAAGGCCTCCAGGTCTGGAAAAAGAAGTTCCTAGTCTCACTTTATCATGGAGCTGGAGACAGAGCACGGGTGGCCGTGCTATAAACTGTCAAGAGAAAACGGGTTATCAGCAGCCATCAGCCTGACAGCAGCCATCAGCCTGGAAATGTTTGGGGCATTTCTGTGGTCCTTGCATTTCACATTGGTCAGTGAGGTTTCATTAATATACTGCTTGAGCTCTCTGAAGAAAGATGCAGTATACAAAGTCCAAGGACTTAAAAGGATTAAGTCTCTCTCCCTACAATGAACAGTCATTTCCATTTCTCTCTAGAGTACTGCTTAAACTTGATGAGCAGCCCCCACATCCCTTCCTTTCCCTGGGAAGATTCCCTGAACCTTTCAGACAGAACAAGCTGCTCCTTTCCCCTGGGGCATACAGCTCAGCACAGACCCTGACTGTCACCATTTCTACTTTGTACTCTGGAATAAATTATTCAGCCATTTCTCCCAGTAGAGTACCAGCTTTCCAAAGCCAGAAGCTGTCTCGCTCACCTTCAAATCTCCCTTCCCCTCCTAGCTCAGTGCTCTGGACCTGGGAGCAGATTAGTAAATGCTCCTTGTACATTACTGAACTTAAAGTCTACTTGGTTGTATGGCATCTTATTTTTTTCTTATTTTATCAAAAATAAGAAAAAGTGAAAAAAGAGATGAAGTTTAAAACTAATGACTAGCACAGCACAAGGAACATGTAAGACGCATGAAGAACGGCTTCCTCTTTGAACGCTTGCTCTGGAATGCCTACTGCTGACCGTCATACAGCTGTCGCTGTCATTAGTGAGAGCAAATGTTAAGATAGCGCACACAGGCGGACAGTATAAAACCTACCACACAGCATGCAAAACATCAACACAACTTCTGACTGTCTTCAAGTTTACTTCTGTTTCAACTTTTTAACAGCAAAACAGGTACTGTCAAAGCCAACACAAGACATACCAGCTCTGTTTATGCATGCGAGTGTCAGTACCACCTTCAGCTTGGGCAGGCACCTGCCAGGTGCTTCTTAGTGAACATGTATGTCAGGTGCAAGTTGAGCATTTCAGAATTAGTGTTTAAGTGTTTACTTATTGGTAGCTTCTATAATATGTAAAAATGTGTAGATTCACCTGAGATTAAAAATCGAAGAGCCTCTTTGTTTTATGTGAATTAATGGGGTACTTTCTGAAATTGGTGATGTCTCAATGAATAAGCCAAGCATCCAGATTACACTGCATTATCTTGGGCAGTTTGTTCCTCATTTTTCATGTCTTGTACTTGGGTATTTTCATGCAGGTTAAAATGGGTCACCAATACGGCACCTGTGAGAGCTGTCAGCAACTGCTATTGTCACAACAAGAAATGTATGCTCCGTGAAAGATCTACTGTGCTAAAACACTAACATGCTCTGCTCAGCTCCTCGCTAACAATTTCCTTTCTAGCCTCCACCGGATGGATGTAATTGCTTTCATTCTAATTGACTTGTTTACATGTTTCATTAGTGCACCAGGTCCATCTGGAAGTTGTCAGGTACATACAACTGATTTCAATACATATTGGTTTTTTTTTTTTTTTGAGGGAGGGGTACTGAGAACTGAACCCAGGGCCTGTACTTTACTTTCCCGAGCTACCAGATTTTATCTGTAAATACTCACATAGCTTGCTATTCTGCTTAATATAAGTCTGCTCACGTAACAGTCTCTATGACTGCTTATTAATTCCTTCTGAGAAAGAATGTGTTTAAAATGTGAAGGAGACATCAACTTGCAAAGAGGCCAAATGTCTTTTGAACAGCACAAGCACAATAGTAAATTCTAATGCTGGGAAAGGAGAAACGTCTGGGAGCAGGACAGTCAGCAAGGTCCAGCATACACTATAGACAAGGAAGCCACCTGCTTGAGACCAGCTTCTACACATCAGCACTGCCCTGCAGAAAGCCTAAGCAGGGCTCCAGGGTGTCACAACAGCCCTGTCTGCTCCAGTGCTGTCAGCTTAGCTAAGCCCCTGCTACAGACATCTCGTGCTTCCCCATCAGAGCCACCCCTTGCCATGCTGCTGGCCGGCTGCTCTACTCCAACTGTGGTTTCTCTTGATGCATGATTATGTGTTGTGTGGAAAATGAGATGAACAGAAGAGATTCACTTTTACATGGTGGCTATGCTGTCACCAACACAAAGAAACACTCACTCAGGTAACTCACAGGAAACAGTGGCTCAATACATGACTGGAGAATAAGGTGGCCCATCTAAGCCTGCAGGGCTCATCTTCTAGAAACTCATCAAAAAGCTAGCTGTGGATTAGCAGATCTTGATTTAGTTATTTACAATACAAATTAAAGGAAGGAGGTGTGAAGCACGAGGGGAGGGGCGGCTGGTTTTGGAATGCCTAATTTAGTAAAAGTGCCTGCTTTAAAGAAAAAAGTCCTTTATTTGAGCTACTTCTTTTTACTTCTTCCTGTTGCACAGACGGCATTTTAGAATTCTTGGTTTCAGCAGCAACTCAAAAAGCAATACTGCAAACTTGCACATCAAAAAGGAAAGGAGAAAAAACGCACCATGGTTTCAAACGAAATCCAAAACAGACGGAAACAAAATGACAAGCAGCAGCAAAATCACTGAGCCTAACTTGCAGCATCCTTTTGAAGACAGGGATGTTAGTTGGTTAATATCACAGCCACCTCTAGGTACTGCCTCGGCACTGAGCGTTGACAGGTTGCAGTAATGCACATCCAGAAGCGGCACATGGAGAAAAGCCATGGCGGCACTTAGCTGCTACTGCCTCTGTCTCCCTGTTCCAATAGACATGGACTTCCAGAGTTGCTGTTCTATGGTAACTCTCAGTGAGAGAGACAAGGAAATAGGACATTCTTAGAAACCAAGCAAAAAATGTATGGGAATACAATACCTGGAAAGTTTATCAAGCATGTTGACAAGTTTCATGGCTTCATATTCTTTTTGTTCTTCTGTCATTTCATCTATAGGGTTTGGCATTGGTTCCTCTAAATGACCAGTGATAAGATTAATGCTACAAAAAGAAAAAAAAGTTATGCTGTATGTTTTAGAATTATGCTCTTTCTATGCTCTTTTGGTCCAAATTTTAAGTTAATTAAGAAAGAGTATAATAGCCAAAAATTGGCAATAATTTCTATAGTAATTTTATTGTATAGAACTGCTATATTATATTATTATTATTATTAGTTTGCTTTGAAAAATGGGCTTTTTACAAAATTAAAACTGACTACTTGCTAACTATTTTTTAAGTCATGGTTGCTTTTAAAAATATAAAACTTTATTGGTGCTGTTGAGTAAATATCTTTTGATGCATATCTTATTCACTAATTGTAAGGTGACAAATACTTTTAGAAGTTAAATGAGAAAATCCATTCGTGATACAGCATAAAACAAGTATGTCCCCAAAAAAGGGGGGGGGACCTTGAGAACTGCTAACAGAGAGGCTGCAATCTGGAAATGAGAGCAAGCCTGTGTATAATCTCAGGAAATTAGTCCATCAGTGAGACCACAGAGGTAACGAGTGCCTAAAACAGTCAACAACAAAGCAGGAATGTTAATTAGATCTGATCTGACTGAGGAAAAAAGTAAAAGCTAGCCCACCAAGAGACAAATACGGCAGCTTAGCTTTCAGGAAACAGATCTAGAATAGTGTTCAACAATAATGTATATGTTTTGTATGATGTTCTAACACCAAAGAAATTATACTCTGAAATAAAGGGCCACATTTCTATCTTTTCTTTTGTATTGAGGAAGAAAAACAAAACAGAGCTCTCTCAATGTCTGCTAAATATAAACACCTTCAAACATTATTCTTGAGGAGAAGACACAACTACCATTAAAGTATCTTATACCAGCCAAGTACAGACTGTTTTAATGATCAAAATCATAACACCCCCGCAGAGAGCATGATGGTAACAAATGATTTTCTAAGGGCTTTCAGGACCTGGCCAGGATAAACAAACCAGTGAGATAGTCAAGTAGTGTTGGGAGCTTGGGGTAAACTGAAGAAAAAATGTCATGTGAGCTAAAATCCCTGCTCCTCGGGTGGCCAGTGTCCACTCCCATTTAAGACTTCTCAGTTGCAGTGAAGGTTAGCTCATGGTAACTCTCACTTATCACTACCAGACTTCCTGCTCTTTTTCTATATTCCTCGAAGGCTACTCACCACACAGATTCTTGTGGAAGGGTCTGCCTTTGCTGTCTTAGAAAACTAGATTTAAAGTCTGTGCAGCTCTTCTTAGACAGGGCCTATGATTAGAAGTATAGTCAAAAAATTTGTTCTGCTGGACTTAATGGTGCATACCTAAGATTCCTGCTTGGGGCTGAGAGATTGGAGTATAAATTCAAAGCCAGTCTGAGTGACTTGCCAAGGTTTAAAGGGGGCTGGGTTACAGCCCAGTGGTAGAGTACCTGCTGAAAATCTAGGAGTTGTGAGACTATGTGTTAAATCCCCAGCACCTACTCTTCCCTAAAAAGGCAAATGAACAAATCAAGAAAACCTCCTGTTCCAATCAGTAAACCATGTGCAAGACAGAACATCATGGAGTCAATCAGGGAGAAGGTGGGAACAGGGCAAGCAGAAGATATGGGGACCCAGAGGCCTTTCTGTTTGCTCCTATCCACTTGCTTCTAGGTATTCTCTACAGTGCTTCAGGAACGTTGGGGTAACCTTAAAACTATATAGATCCGTCACTTATTCCTCATTTTGATTACACACTAGAATCACTTGGGGACCCGGAGCTGGCCTGACCTCAGATCAACATGTAAAGTTCCCCATGTTATGATAGACTGGGCTTAAGTGCCCTGTTCAGATACTACTCTTAACTCTCTCGTTTAAAGGTGCCCACAGAAGCGAAAGAGCTCTAGCTAGATGCTGTCACAAAATTGCTAAAGGGGTCCCTACATTTCCCAAACTTAACAACAAAGAGAACCAAACGAGGTTTCTGAGAAGTGATGCATGGAGATACTGTGCTGTTATTTCTTTGGCCACATGGTGCTTGCTACTTGCTAAGTTATAAAAACAACTAAATAAAGATACTTATTACAGATATATATTACTCTCAAGCAAAGGAGATTGGGTCTTATAGGAAGGGAACAGAAATAAACAACGCCAAGCACGCTCATTTGCCACTTGAGAGGCTTCTCACACGGACAGAGGTGTGATGTGAGGAATCACACCTGTAGACTTTTCAGAAAACAATGACACAAGCACAACCGTGTCCCTGAGAAACATGTCAGGGGACACTGGTAAGGCCTGTGCTGCTGTAGGCACAGCACAGTCAGGCACAGGTTCCTAGGTAGGCACAGTGGTTCTTCACTCGGTATCTTTGTTGTTTATCTTTTGAGACAGGGTTTCTCTATGTATCCTTGGCTGTTCTAAACTGGCTGTGTAGACCAGTCTGGTCTTGAACTCAGAGCTCTGCACGTCTCTGCTCACCAAGTGCTGGGATTAAAGGTGTACGTTGGTGGGATAACATCTATTTTCTAGAAGTTATTCTTGAGTCCCCTGCTTGCTCTGAGGTTAGCTTCCAAGTGAGCATGAAGGCAGCATTCTCTCTCCTACAGTGAGGCCCCTCCCCTATCCATGGAGACAATACCATAATACTCCAGATGCGCGCGCATACACACACACCTTCCTTTAAACACAGAGCGCAAACATTGGTTCACGTCTCCCTTTAAATAGATTTTTTTCCCCATTATGATACTCAGGGGAATATAAACAAAACCACATGAAACACAAGCCAGGACAATGAACTGTGCCACTCTCTCACAAGAGAAATACCAATGTGTAGTGGGAGAAGGCAGATGGGAGCTCTCTCTCCCCTCCGGTCAGTCTCATACGTTTTCCACCCAGAAGAAGAGGAAACAAGTCATCACACAACGATAATGCAAAGTTGTATATTTGGGGATGAACAAATACATAGAATCAAAGACATCATTTATGTTTCAAAATCTTACTACTATGAAACTCTGAGGTTATTTTTACTCTGTTTGAAGGCTGAGTCTTAATTCCTTTAAGGACACTAACTGTGGTGGGCCTTTGGAGAATGGTATGTATGTATGTATGTATGTATGTATGTATGTATGTACGTATGTATGTATTCATTCACCTCGTCTTTCCTCCTCTTTCCCATCATTCCAGTCCTGTGATTAATTTTATCTTCTAATTTGGTGACAATTGTCTGACCTGTGGCTACTAACCATGATTTTTTTTAAAAAAAAATATGATCATTTCATCAACTAGCATGTTATGGCCTGGCAATAGGAAGATTATGACATACTACAATGGTATGAGTGTATGATAAAAGCTGAAATACATCTCAATTATTTTACTCTCCTAACTATTGCTGTCTCGGGGTAATATTGGCATCACTTAACAAAAAGAACTACATGGAGACTTAGCTCTATGAAAGCTTCCGCTTCTAAAGGCAGGGCTTAAGTTACTCAGAGCTCTGCCAAAGCAAGGCGTCCTGTTGCAACACTGGCTGGACCCACACGTGCCAACACCAGCTCTGATGGCCGCGCCCACAGGGCATAGGGCACAGGGCACAGACACCGGTACTGATGGGATTCCTGGTTCCTTCTGCACTGTATTTCAAGCCCAGTACTGATAATCAGATTTAAAAATCTATGGCTGGAGAGGCCATAAGGTCATTTAGCTAAATTTTCATGGCCTCAAATGCCTTCTAAATCTCTATGTTAATATCCACTGGTAACATTACCTTAGGGAAGATAATAAAACTGCTGCAAGGAAGCTTTTCTTTCCAATAAATGGTGGTGAATACAGAAACTCTTAGCTGCTCAAGGTGCTGAGAAAAAGTAACAGCTGAACTCAGCCCCAAATAGGACGTCTGTATCACTATTGCTAGGCCTCAAGGGATCCAGGGAAGAACACAAGAGTAGGAAAGCAAGCAGACTGACGTGAAATGCTGTCTTCTTACATGACACAGTAACTGCACTCATCAACTTGTGCAGCTGCCTGCAGTGGTCAGGAACAAGAACAGGCCTGACAAAGGTCAGACCTGAGCAGGGGAGGGACTCAAGGCGGCGGTGGGAGGGGGAACTACTAACTACTCAGAGGTTCTGGGAAAGAAGGAGTCAGTGACTTCAGATGTTCACCCACTAGTGAACCCACCAAACTGTAAGGACAGTTCCAAATCCATGGCCACACAGATGGCTCTGGTTAAACACAGTAGATCACAAAACAGAACAGACATGGGTGTGGGAAAAGGATTTGTAGGAAAGGGGTGCTGACAGAGATAGGAGGGAGAAAAGAGAAACTGCAACGCATGTATGCAATTGTCAAATCAGCAAGGAGGCGAGACAGGTCACCCGAGCAGCGCATGCACACCAGCTCTGACAGACGCTCTACTCAATTCCACAAGCTGGCTGCTATGTGAGCACATGAATCTTAGTGAGAACTTGGTGTTGTTATAAAGATGCTAGAAATCCACATTTTCATCTGAAATGTCTGCATTCTAAATGTTGCCAAGTGATTAAATTATTTTAAAGAGCACTTTTCAAAATGATGACAAGAATATAAACCAAAAAACAATACTACATGGGACAAACAAAACGTAACTGTGGACAAAATTCTCCTTAGGTGCCCATAAATCCACACCCTCTAAAAAGTTTTTAGAAAGAGGCATTTCTGTATGCCTAGACAAGGAAGGGAGGGAGCCAGAGTGCAGGGAAGCAGAGGCTCTACAGGGAGAAAGCCCAAGCTGTCCTTCCTGGGGCCTCCCCAGAACACTTGGTTCCTGCACCTCCCCAAGCAACACAAAAAGCAACAAGCCATGCCTTGATCTCCTGAGCCCCACCCTGGCTAGCAGAGCTTCTCCATTGGAGCTGCTGACTAACTCAATCAACAGCTCAAAAAAATGTTTTAGTACAGGGGTTGGCAAGATGGGTCAGCAGTTAAGAACCCTGACTGCTTTAGCAGAGAAACTGGCTTTGATTCCCAGTACCCATATAGGAGTTCACAACTGTTTGTAACTCCCGTTCCAGGAGATC